ATTTTCTGAGATTAACCGATTCATGTACACATTGAGGCATACTTCTTAGTCTGCTCCTGTACCAAATTTATCAGCAATTAGTTGCCATATAGTTGCTATACTTGACGACTTGCCACTGTCACTACATCACTCTAACTGCTTTGAAGTCCTTCTTTAGTTTGGAATGTTTCTCACACAATCTTTAAGTGCTATATTTATTACGCTGTGAAGATCCTAATCGCCCAACAGAGCTATGCATATGATGCGATGTCTAGACCGAAGCTTAACAGATGTTTACGAGACTTCCTCTTGTACACTGAAGAATTCTTATATGTCACTTAATCGCTTAGGCATTGAAGCTTCCTTGTTTTGTGAAACAAAAAGCAGTACCAGCAGCTTCATAAGCAATGTACATTGCAGGCGCATCCCCACTTTACAAGAACTGAGAAAGCTGAAACATCATCTGAGAATTTCATCTTGGAACCCCAAATCATTATATTGTGCCATTTTATCCCACCTTGAGAGGAGATGGTCCATGCGCAACGACGACCCCTAAACCTCTAGAGCGTTCTGAATTCTATTCTAAAGGAGGTATGTACAAGAGAGCGGCAAGAGACACACCACGCTCGCAGTCCGGGATCGAACCTCGAACCGCGGATAGGCTTCCGCCCAGGTCACCCAAGCCCCCAAATTGAAACCTAGATTCGTCTGCGTGGATGAGAACTCTAGCGTGTGCTTCTGCTAGTCCTGAAATTTCGAATAGTGGGTATAGCATTGCAGACAAAACCCTTCCAGTGGAATCGTACTTGGTTACTGGAAAGAAGGATCCTATTTGATCCTGGAAGATTTTTTCGAGCCGCAAATGTTTTTTCAGTGACTTTTCTCAGTATTTTTTTCGGAAAATTTTTTGGGCATGCTGTAGGAAATTCCTATGAGTAGTAGATAGGATAGGGAAAGGAGGCCGTACCATGTAAGGAAATTTCAATAGGGTGTGAGTCGTACTGGCACTGTCACTACACATATCACGATGTTGTGCCCTGATTGTATCGCTTACAGTAACTTACTACTAAGGAGAGCTAGCATATCCCAAGAAGGGATTGACCGATGGTGAGTCTTGGGTATGGGAATTTTGCCCTCTCCCCATTGATTACTTGACTGCACTGTACAACTGGCAAAGTTTGCTCATTCCGAAAGCAGACAAACTTCGAATTGATGGCTAAGATATTTCGATCGCAAAAGGCCCATGAGTAGGTCTGTTTGCTCTGTCTTCATCTTCTTGAGCTGCATGACGTAAACGGTCATAAAATGTGCCCTTCCGGTGCTTGGTAACGAGAGGACCGCCCACTCGGCACGTCATTCATCATTGACTGCATATTGACATACTGCGCTCTGCTGCAGAACCCTTTTTTTTGCCAGTTGGGAAGTCCCATACAACATTTTTATTTTGTTGTGTGCGCTATTCTTTTGTAATGATTTTCAATGGCAATCAAGCTCACATTCATCAGATCTGAGGCGCTTGAGATTTCCTGGGCTTTACGCTTATTCTACACGACACTTTCTGTCTCTAGAATGCCGCTTCGGCGCTATTCCAATAATGAGAAACAGAAGCATTTAGTGAAGTTATCGTGCAGAAGAATTGACTCACCAACCCGTAACTCCTTCCCTGTGCCTGAGAGTATCCCTCTTCTACAGTCACTCAGCTCTTTGCATGTGTGTTTTGGTGGAGAACCGACTCTGTTTCTATAGCGTTTCGTTACATTTACAATAAGCTTTCAACGATCCCTATGTCCCATCCTCGGGAAAATTCCTAGTACACATGTGAGTCATGGGTTTGATAAGTGCGGCAAATTGAGCTTTGATCGTTGTGATTTGTGCCTTCTGTTTCCCAATCTTTAGAGAACGGCTAATTGAATGTTTGCCAAGAGCTCGATTCGCAGTGTCTGCGATATGCTAGTTGGTTTTATGACTCAACGCTCACTGCGAGTAAGTCCTCGACCTACGAGTAAGGAGCTTTAGTATCTCAAAGACTTCGCTCACTCTTGTTAACTAAAATGGCAATGTAATCAGTTGGGAGACTGATTGGGGCCAATTCTTTCGAAGAGAAGAGGTGAAGCCACTCTAATCGGAGTGATACCGTCCAGGCCACATGAGCACTGTGAGGGAACTCCTCTGTCATGCCCCTCCCAAGTTTTAACAACAGTGGCTTAACAACGATGGTGTCCTCATGCTCGTCTCCCGTGTCCCGTAGTTTCATCCTCACTTGAGTAGGGGCGACTTTTATGCGGTGACATGGTGCGAGCCGAGCAGAAAAAACCTTGAGTATCTTCTGCGTTCAGGATATGTTTGGGAGGATGAAAACTCCGCTATGTTCATGACTTGGACCCTGCCAATCGTTGTATAGGCCAGCTCGAATTTCCATTACCACTACGATACTGAATGGAAATAGACTGCGCGGCGCATCCCCTGGTGGGGTGGAGCAACTCCGAAAGTAAAGTTGTCAGCGTACTGCTATGGGATATTATGGATTGATAGCGATACGCCGCATTTGGTCAAACCTGAATACTTTATTCTGAGCATGTTTACTCATATTTTCGAAAAAATATTATCAGTTATTTTTCCTTTTCCTTTTCATCGCTTGAAGTTTTCACCACTCGTGGTCCTATTCAAAAACATGAATAATTTATGAAGTGCACATCATGCCCTGTCACGCGTTGCCAGGAAATAACATTCGATCCATGAACAAAAATTAAGCAAACTATTGCCCTTTTCCAATACAGAGGTGGTCGAAAAAATTGAATGGGATGCTAGAAGGATAAGGTTTCGTTATGCAGCACACATGCATTTGAAGCCCAACATTTCAGAGTTACGGTATCACTAAGTTTGAAGCCTTGGCTCGCAAAAAACTGTGTGGTGGTGGGAGTTTCTCTTTCTGGCATTCTGGCAGAGCCGCTA